CTGTCAGAGTACCTAACGGTAGTGATCTTCACAGCCTCAGCCCAGCATGCAGCGGTGAACTTTGGCCAGGTGGGCAAAGGCAGGGTGGGTCCTCTGGGTGGGAGATCGCCAGTCACCTTGACTGCTGCTGATGGGCCCAGACAGGGCCGCCCCTCTTTCTAGTCTTCTGGGGCTGGTCTCAGGCAGCCTCGGGGCCAGAAGCTGGATGTTCCCTGAGTGTATTCTGCTCACTAAGCCGAGGGTGCCAGCCAGAGAGGGGGCCTGTGGACTGGCCCTGCTGGAGGAGGTGATGGGAAGGAGGGTGAGAGGCGTCGGGATGGGTGCTCGGTCTGCGGGGCAGGTACGGGCCTGGCCCACTGCAGGTGGGTGGCAGCTGGCTGAGGAGGTGCGCACCCATGCCGGTGGCTGTCCCTGCAGTATGACTGGTGCTCCTGGATCCCCAATGCCCCCCCAACCATGCGGGCCCCCCCACCAACAGCCAAGGGAGTGGTCACCATCGAGCAGATCGTGGATATGTTGCCAGACCGTGGCCGCTCCTGCTGGCATCTGGGCGCAGTGTGGGCACTAAGCCAGTTCCAAGAAAATGAGGTGAGCAGGGGAGACATTCTGCCCCCTCTAGGGGGCAGGTCGCCTGGATTTAACCCATTTTTCCATCTCAGGGCTTTGTGATTAAGAGCTTAGGCTGGACACCTGCTCTCCGGGAATCTTGACTTCTGAGGCTGGGGGTGCCCAGGATGTGCCTGGATGGAGCTTGGGGCGGGGGGTGGGGGTTGGCAGGAGAGCACAGGGACTCTGCTCCACCGGTGACTACCCAGAGGGGACGACTAAGAGTTCCTGGGGATCCTGCCAGACATTCCCATGCACATACACCTAATGAACCTAATGTCAAAGCTGGGTATCTCAGTATCTCAGACACAACCCCATGACATTAGCTCAGTGTCGCACAGAATGACTACCAGTTCAGCCAGCCCCAGACTCGGCGGGCATTTTAGGGGGCACTGAGGTTGCTTTGGGGACTCTGCTGATGTGTGGGTCCCTCACGAACATCTTTGTATATGTGTCTTTGCACATGTGTTCAGTAGGGCCAGATGACATGTTCCTAGTAGAGGAATTTCTGGGTCAGAGAATGTTGAGACTGATCTGTCCTCCACAAACTAATCCCAAATCCCACCCTTCCCAGCCCTGGGTATGAAACCTGCCAGTTTTAACAATCCAGTAATTTTTAAAAAGATAGACCTAGTTTTAACCTGCAGACATCTGTGTGAGTGTGGAAATGAGCACAGCACCCCAACAGGGTCCGGCTGTGGCTGTCCTGGGCTGGGGAGGCTAGCGCCGGCCCCCGGAGCCCAGACGGGAAGGCAGGAGTGCGGCAGAGGACGGGGCCCAGCGGGACCCCCTTCACCTGCACCATCACACGTGGCAGGGCAGCTATTTCTCCCATTTATCTGAGGCCCGAGACCAGGGGCATTCTTGGGGTCTTCTCAGCAGGGGGTGGACAGGGGGAAATGAGCACATGCTGCCTCGCTCACTTCCCAAGGGATGGTCTCTGGGGGTGAGACAAGGCCTATCAGTTTACATCACCTCGGCAAAGATTAACCTGTCCATCTGTGTCCGGGCCCTTAGCTATTCCTGGGTACGTACCCAGAAGAGCATTTCATCGAGAAGCCTGTAAAAGAGGCCATGGCCCGATTCCGCAAGAACCTTGACACCATCGTCAGCGTGATTGCTGAGCGCAACAAGAACAAGAAGCTGCCATATTACTACTTGTCCCCGGACCGGATTCCCAACAGCGTAGCCATCTAAGTGGCCACCTGAGCCAGTCTCATGTGCACACGGTCAGCTGCTCACAGGTGGGCTCAGCACCCAGACTCCAGGCTGCCCGGGCGGGCGGGCTCACGGGGGCCCCGGGGCAGGACCTCCTGGCAGCTTGCTCTCCTGAGGCTGCCTCGGTTCCTCAGGCCCCAGGCTGACTGGCTTCAAACCAAAGGCTGCCCAGGTTGCGCCATGTTATGCCTCAGCTTCAGTGCATTTTCCAGTCTGTTCCTCAATCTTTAGTGAATCCCATACTTTGATCCAAGTGGGTACACTGCAGGGACCCGTCCTACACAGAGCAGGACGATGTCGCTTCCTGCCCTACGCCTCGCTCAGTGCTTCCACACCAGGCAGGAGCAAGAAGTCAGGAAAACTGATAGATGTTTGTTCTTGTTGGGAGGCATGGAATGATTATTTTCTATTTATGCTTCATCCAATTTCTTGCATATAGTAAGGGCCCAAATAAATCCTTGTTGAATGAAGAATTGGTTGTCATAAAAATAAAGGCGTGCTCTTAAAACAAGTTTCTGTCCACGTTATGTTCCCATCACCCCCAAGCAGCTCACATCCCCTCTCCCCACAAAAAAAAAGCCATGATCACTGTGATTCCATTGGACAAAAGCTCCCCCCCCACCCCCTCCCACCCAAACCCCAGTCTAGATAGAAGGTGGTTTTCCCTCTTTGTTGCTCAGAAAGCTACTTTATCTTTAGAATATATCCCAAATATCATCCACCCTGGGGAGGCATCTTTGATTCTCATCTCTCCCACCCGCCCCCCCCCTCCCTGGGCTTTGTCCGAACCTCTGTTGTTATCTTCCCACATCGTCTCTCCCTTGGACCCAGAGCCCCTGCAGAACAGGAACTCACCTTACTCGTGTGCCCAGGGCTGGCACAAGGCACTAGCCTGCTGCTCCCTCATTTTCCTCCTGCAAGGCACCGGACAGGTTCTAGGCACTATCCTGGGAGCTGCGGGCTGTTTTCTCCAACAAGAGAGGACTTAAAATGACTTTTAAAATGCATTTCTTTCCCCACACCCAAGAAGCAGAGCCAGCCCTGAGCTTTGGGCATGGCGATCCATTGTGTCCTCCTACACACCTACCTAACCTATACCCCTAGCCCCTCGCTTCAGAATTGGATCAGCAGGGTCTCCAGAATTTCTGGAAGGTGTACCCAATGTGCCAGGCCAGAATCTCAATGTCTAGGTAAAAGGCTTCCACTAGGGCCAATACAGCATGGGAGAAGGCACGCAGGAGAAGGCTCCTGAAACCACAAGTCCCTCCGAGGAGACTTGGCCATTGGGACAGGTACCAGAGAGAGTGAGGCCTGGACACTTACTGGCCCAGACTCCCTACCAACCCTCTGAGAACTGCCCATACTTATAAGTGACCATGGTGGTGGACTCCATAATCCTATGGTCATTTGGTAAAGGCACTCACTCAGCTCCATGTCCCTGTGAGGGCCAATGTACCAACCTTTAGAGCCCGCAAGGCCATGTGAGCAAAGGAAGGAAGAGGAGCAGGTAGGAATGATGATGCAGGTCTGATCCTGTGGGTGCAAGCAGCAAGGGAAGGAAGGTCTGGGTAGAATGGACTCCAGACTGCAGGGCACCTCTAAGAAAGCCTCACTCAGCTAATGTGGAGTCCTCAAACAAAAGTGGCCCATTATAGGTATGAAAATGAAATAAAGAAATTTTCAGGTAAAATAAAATGAAGAGAATCTCCTGCCAGCAGATCTACACTACAAGAAATGCTCCCATGGAAACTCAGATCCTCAAGAAGGAGAGGAGAGTATCAAATATGGTAAATATTTGATAAATGTAAGAGTCTTTCTCCCCTCCTCCTTCCTTTAAAATATATGATTATTTAAAGCAAATATAACACTATCATGTGGCATTTATAATACATGTAAGCATAATATAAAGATAGCATAAAAGACAATGGGTGTTAATGGACTATTTCAGGCACATGGTTTCTACATCTTGTATCAAGTGGTACAATATTCTCTGTAGTTTGTGAAATTTTAAGTAGGTAGATTATAACCTCTAGAGCAACCACTAAAATAATGTAAAGAAGTATAGTTAAAAACCAAGAGAGGACTTAAAATGGAATTCTAAAAATATATAAATAATTTAAAAGAAAGCAAAAAAAAACAAAAACAAAAACAGAAGACAAATCAAATAAAATGGTAGACAGAGCCAACCATATCAGTAATCAAATGTTTATAAGGACTAAAAACTCCAGCTAAAAGGCAGAGATGATCAGAATAATTTAAAAAATCAATACCCAAGCACATGCAATACACAAGATACATACTTCAAATCCATAGCAATGTCAAGCACATTTTTTCCTATAAAAAATTTTAGGTTTGGTAGGCCACATATAATCTGCTGCATTTTTTAAAACAACCTTTTAAAATTGTAAAACACAGGGTACCTGAGTGGCTCAGTCAGTTGAGCATCTGACTCTTGGTTTTGGCTCAGGTCATGATCTCAGGGTTGTGAGACTGAGCGCCACATCAGGCTCCATGCTCAGTGTGGGGTCTGCTTGAGATTCTCTCCCTCTCTCTCCTCCCCACTCTCACTTCTCTCTCTCTCAAATAAATAGGTAGATAAATAAAATCTTTTAAAAACCAAATAACATAAAATTTTAAAACATATTCCTAGCTCAAGAGCCTCACAAAAATAGGCACAGGCTCGATTTGGCCAGTGGGCTATAGTTTGTTAGCCCTGGTATAAAAAGACAGATAAGATTTGTGAATAGCAGATAAGCATGTGACAAGAGGCACATGAAAAGATGCTCAATATCATTAGTCATTGGGAAAATGCAAATTAAAACCATAAATGCAAATTAAAACCAAATTACAACTACACATCTATGAGAACAGCTAAAATTCTGTATTTTAGGTTAGTGACTGACAACACCAAATGTTGCAAGGGTTTGAAGTAACTGGAAGCTTCATACCTTGTTGGCGGGGATGTAAAATGGTACACCTGCCTTGGGAAAATGTTTGTTTAGTTTCTTATAAAACTAAACATCGCTACCCTCTCTGAACCAGCATTTTATGCTTATGTATTCACCCAAGAGAAATTAAAATGTGTCCACAAAAATAATCTCAACAGTTCTATTCATAATGGCCAAAAACTGGAAAGAGCTCAAGTCTCCAACTGTAAGAAAATGAAGAGACTGGTGTATTTAGAAAGTGGAATATTATTCAACACAAAACAGGAATGTGCGGATACAGGAGCATAGATGAAACTCAAAAACACTGTGCTGACTTAAAGAACCCCTACACAAGAGGGTAAACTGCATGACTCCACCAAAATTAAGCTCCAGGACAAGTTAAAACCAAAAATCAGAACAACGATTTTGTTTCAGAGGGTATGGGGACAGGGATGCACTGGGAAGGGGCAACAGAATTTTCAGGATTGAGATAATGTTCTCTGCATTTTGATACAGAACATCTGGTTTGGGGTTACACAGGTGTATACATCTGCCAAAACTCATCAAATGGTACACTTAAGATTTGTACATTTCACTGTATGTAAATTTTTCCTAAGAACAAAAAGAACCATAAATGTTGAATTGTAGCTAATAATATACAAACTTAAGTGGGGTGAAGTGTATACTTCTCATTGTAATTTACTCTGAAATGCATTAAAAAAGCAAGGTGATGGAAGGATAGTGTAATGAATAGATGGAGATATGTGGTAAAGTATATATAGCAAAATGTTAATTGTAGAATCTAGGGTAAATGACTTCTCACTTATACAATTATTTAAAATTTTTCATAAAATGGTGAAAAAAACGAACAGCACTTATTTGCCAGTTACATCAAACCAGAGTTAATGTTCTTTCACCATAAAAAGTAACGATGATTTAATGTAAAATATACCAAAAAACCCAAGAGAAATGGCCAAGGCATGGACATTCACATATGCAGACATGCAGGGTAAACAAAAGATGCTCAATCTCATTTACCCAAGAATGCAAAGTAAAACATCAATGAGATAAGAGGGGACAACAATCATTTTAGTAACAATTTAAAAAACACCTACATGATACAATGTAAGGAAAGAGACTCAAATTCTCATAAGTGAATCATTTTGGAGGGTGCTTTTGCAACTTAAAAGTTAAATGCCTTTACCCCTTTCTCCACTTCTAGGAATTCATCTTCAGAACTGCCCCCCCCCCCGCCACCACACACACACACACAAGTGTACAAAGATAAATGTCATGGATGTGGACTTGAGCCTTGTTTCTAATAACAAAAGTCAAGTAAGCAACCTAAAGATCTGTATCAGTATCCAGTTTTTAGGTGAAAAAAGCAAGATGTGAGGGAGCGTGTCATGTGACTGCAGTAAGCAACACGCATTTCTCACAGATTTCAGACACGTGAAGAGTTTTTGATGCCTTTACTGCATGACTATGGCCCAGACCTCTGCCTTCCAGGGACCCAGCGCTGGGTTCCTGCTCAAGGCCTTTCCCTGGAGAAGGGGCTGTTTGATGTTCTGCTTTTTTTTTTTTTTAAAACCATGCTGACCGCTTTGCTTGTTGTATGCCTGCCCCTCCCCTCGGAATGTTTAATCAAACATTTCATCTTTTCTGGTCATCTGATCATCTAGGTAGTTCTACTATAGCACCTGGATTCCTCCTCCTCCCACCAGCCTGACACCCCAAGTAATGAGCAGTATGTTAATATGTCAATGAATGGGGCTGTAAGAACAGGAGGCTGGCCTGCGAGTAGCTTGCCCCGACGGAGGGCTGAAGTGCGCCATGGCGCAGCCCTCACCCCATCACTTTGTGGCTGGTGTTAAAGGGCAGAAAGGCCTGGGGAAGGCATGCTCAAGCCTGTGTGCAACCAAGATCCCACTGCGCATCTTTTCAGCCAAACTCATCAAATTTGGTGGATCCCCAAAGCAGAGAGGCTCCCCTTGGACAGAACCCCCCATCTCACCTCACTGAAGCAGACTGCTCTTTCAGCTCCACCCTCCTCACCCCTCCAACCATAGTCGAGCACCTGAGCACTCCCTCCCCTGCACGGGCACATACCTGTTCAGCTCTTCTGCGGTCCATCCTCCGCCAGAGGCCACAACAGCTCCCAAAGTCAGGCAAGGACACTTGTCAAAGTATCCTCCCGCTGAGCTCCAAAGTCTCCTGGCAGCTACTGTGGTACCTGGGCTCACCTAGGGGACAGTATGTACAGGGCAATCCTGGCCTGTTTTCACCTTATGCACCCAGGTAAAGGCAGGTGCCTGCCCTCAGCACACACAGCTCGAGAGACAGGAGGCTCCGAGACACCACCATGACTTAGGGAGACTGCATCAGAAGCCCGGAGATACAGCCAGCCTGGGCTATCACCAGAGATCCTGCCGGTCCTCCCTGGTTCTCCTACTCAGCTAGGCCAAGGCTCAGTGTTTGAACAGATAAGGCGAGTTAGGCATTAATCAACTGCTCCACCGTCACATCGCCATACATACCCTGAACTTGAACCTGGCTTCTCACAGGGCACAGAGTCCAAGTAGAGCCTGGATGTTTAAAGCAAGCACACCTGTGTGAGCTACTTCTGTATTTACTTCCAAGCCTGCACACTCTCCTGAACCCACCCCCTCCCCCCCAACCAACCACCAGTGTCGGGGGGTGGGGGGTAGGGGGACCTTCCCTGCCTGCAGGGACAGGCCGAGGAAAACAGCTACCTCCGGAGGTTGCATGATTTTCTTCCCCAACATTCAAGGCAGAGGATGGTGGAAAGGGGAGCAGAACCACTGGAATGCCTGCCAATGTTCCCTGCCTTCTTGCAGGAAAACACTTTCAGGGCAAAATCCCCTTTTAAAGAAATGCTTTATTGCTGCAATTAGACACCCCATGTATAACCCCCTCCCGAGAATGATTCAAGTGGTAATACTGAGAAAGTGAACATACACAAAAGGATACAAAACCAGACATTTAGACAACCAGAAACTCTGCAAGTTAAGAAAATCTTCAAACGTGAAGTGCCTTTTAGAAACTACATCACACATGCCAGTGTAAATTTGGTTTTTATTAACAATCAGCTTTCTATAAACACTGCATCTAAATAGGTGAATAGCTGCACAACTTAAGTACGTCCAAAACAAAGATAAATGTTTTTATTTCCCTATGTTTCAGTCTTTCCTTGGGCTGGAGAGGGAAGCTGCATATTTCAAATCAGATTCAAAAGGGAAAGTACTCAAGAAGTGTCTCTGCATGAGGCCGAACACACAGCATCGAGGCCCTCGACCCCGTCATTCCCAGGCCACCTCCAGCGCTATAGTCCCCCCTCCCCCACCAGGCAGCAGACGTAGCCCCAGCTGTGCAGGCCCCACCTGCAGCCCCGGGACTGGCCCACTGCCTGCGGCCTGCGTCTGCAACCAGGTAGGGCATGCCAGCAAGGTTGAGAACTAGACCCAGGAGACTGAAAAGAGTGGAATGAGGCAGAAAAGGAGGACACAGTAGAGGCCCAGAGCACAGCTTGAGAGTTTCCAGGTTTCTTAAAATCAACTCAGGCACAAAAACCAAATTCCTGCTGGCAGCCAAAGTCAGAAGCGCTCGAGCCAAACGAACTTTTGAGGGAATAGAGGCCAAATCAGAGAAGGCTGGCTGGCAACACCCGAGGCCACTTCCCTCCCCACCTGGCCTGGTCCCCAAGTACCAACCCTCCAGGCCCTGAGACCCACCAGCTCATCCCACGTTTCTGGTTCAGCCAAGTGTTGTCCTCCACGAAAGCCACGTGCAGAATGAGGGGGAAACGGGAATAAATACCGCCCCCCCCAAAAAAAACTAGAAGGCAAGCTGCTATGGACTAAAGGAACCCCTGGCAGACCCACCGCCCCCACTAGATGACAGCACAGCACCACCTTTCCAGAGCTGCTGGCTTCCTGGGTCTGTCTCTGGGAGGTAGAGATTAGAGCCAGGACTAAGGATGGAGTCAGAGGTGCTCAACTAGAACCTATGAGAAAAGAGAAAGGCAAGAGGGCATCTGTGTGCCAACCCAGGAGAGGAAAGAAGGATGTGGGATGGACCGTCCCCAGGCAGAAGGCTTTTTTTTTAGGAGCTTGGTGGAGGTGATGAGATGGTGTTAGGCCTTCCTGAAAAGAAGGGAGGGTTTCACATGAGAGCAACACAGCAGTCATGGTTATAAAGGCACCTTTGCCACAGAGGGTGCCAGCCATGAGAGGTGGGCTGCCCAGAGGCCATCCCTACCTAAGCACGCTTTCCTCTCTGCAGAAGTCTTAGTGACTTTCAAGTTCAGCATAAGGGGTTCCATCGGGGAGAGGGGAAGGAATCCCACTTAAAAATCGATCCCAGTCTTCACGTGACTACTCATCTGCTGTAAGAGGGCAAGGCCAAGGGGCCTTGCCTGGGCAGCTCTAAGGGACACAGGCAGGGCTGGCCCAGGACTTGGCTCCCCTGAGTAGATAGCGTGTAGCTGCCTGGCGTCCGCAGGCTGAGAAGGAGTGTGGGTAATTGCACTTTGGGGCACAGTGAACACAGGCACGGACTGGATGCGGCCTGGGAGACGGAGAGAGAGAGCAGGCTGACCTATTTTCAGGGGCTGGCCATGGCTGGACGGTGCCTGCCGAGCCAGAGGAAGGCCACGGTGGGGTGGGGCAGCTCCTCAGACCAGAGTCCGTGATGCTGACGAATCAGACACCGCATGCGAAGGGACAGCAGGGCAAAGTCTGCTACCACGCACCCTGCCCCAGAGCTCAGACACGCTTCAGCCTCCTCCTGGCTTTCCAAACAAACCAGAGCACTTCTACTCTGAAAGGCAAAGGGATCGTCTTGTGTTTGCTTCATCCTCTTAACAAGACAGGCAAGGCACCTAAGGCTCAGGGGACTGAGGGCAGGACCCCCGGGCATCCTTCCCCTTAGAAGAGGCTCTACAGATGCAGTGTCACCTGGAGAGTAAGTACCTGGACACATGCCTGTGATACTGCGGACCCTCCCGGCCTATTTTCCTGGAGTTAACTCCTATTTACCTGGCGAAACGAAACTCATTTTTAAAAACAGAATTTTAAGCAGACTTTAAAGGGACAAAGGCCATTTGATGGTAGTGATTTTGGTTTTGTCTTATGAAAATGGTACAGGAGATAATCCCTGATGATAGAATGAACTGATCACAAGGATCCTCTCTGTCCAGTCCAGTTAAGGCTATACACGGGTAGAGGCAGGGCTGGGGGCAGTGACCGTGGGCCCCGGCAGTTTGCTGCTCACTCTTGGCCTTTGTCCCAGAGCCAGCCCGTCTGTCTCTCTGCCCAGGCCAGTGACCCACAGGACCTCCCCAGGACCAGAGGCCATCCAAGGCGGCAGGCACCCAGGAGCACCCCTGGTATCCGAGCCCCAGACCAGGGCAGCGCACGCTTACGCTTTTGGTGAAGCCAGCACAAACTGGAGAGCTTTGTCCGGAGAGGAGTCATTTTAAATACTCATTTTTGTTCTAATTACTCACTTCCTTTCATTTAGATCTCACATAACCTTCTTTTTCAGTGTTGTCCAAAAAGAAATGTTTGGGGCAGTCTTTAGACTTATAAAATAGGCTTGAAACCACAGGAATTGGGCTCAAATTGCCATCTGGCATCCATTAATTTCCATGAAATGTTAGGAAAAAGCCTCAGATCTGTTTGTCCTGCTTTAGAGCCATAAGTCCCTTTGATGCACACAGAGCAGATGTCAGGTTTTTTAGAATATATAAGGCAAAAAGGGTTTTAGATCTATTATAACCTAAAAGAGATCATGAAAGGAAGGCTTCTAAATGAGACGTTCTTTTAAATGTCCATCCCACTGGACACACATATTACAAAATAAAGATTCTCTCTTTGTAAAGTGCTGTTTGCTTAGTGAATCCCTCGCCACCACGCACAGAGCACTACAGCCCCGTCTGCTCCGGAAAACGGCCAGCAGCAGCGTCAACAGACGGGCTCAGCTCCTGGGCTCTTCTTGGTGAGGAGGGAAATCCTCTCATCACGGCTGCTAGACAGTCCCAAACACTCCGCGCCAGGGTGGGGGCTGCTGCCAACCGGGAGAGGCCGGGGTGCCACCCTGCTCCTGCTCTTCCCTCAGGTTGGGCATTTTATTCTCTCATTCTGCTCAAGGTCTCATGGGCCACAGCCCAGCCAGCTCCCCATCACATGGCATCACAGGGACCTCCCTTCCCGTGGAAATGCTGGCAGAAGTGGAACCCGGCCGTGCACAGCCAATGTGAGGGCTTTCCAGAAGATTCACTAAGGAGGGGTTAGAAAAAGAGAAGCCATTAAAACAGTCACCTGCCTGGTCTATGCTATTAAAGGACGTAAGAAAAGGTACACAATTGGCAGTAAACAATTTCCTTCAGCTGTTCTTCGATGTCCAGGAAAACTAACCCCTGCACAAAATCAGACATGAACGATTTCTGTTCCAGTGTCTTCAGGTTCTGTCCAACAAGAAGAGTTTGTGTCAGAATGACAGATTCCATGTCCATCTTTATTTTCAAAGTTCGGTTCTGTTAGTGCAGATTTTTCGAAAATATTCTTTTTGCTTGTTTCTGGACAGTTTTGAACATAGATTACTCTGTTATAAGCCTTGAGTCTCTTCCATAATTGTACATACACTTTGCACTGAACATACATAAAAAGAAGTCCGCCGGTAAAGCCGATGGCCACAACCACCAGTTTAGTCCAAAAAGGCCACTCTAGGATTCCTGGAAGGGGAAAAACCCGGTTAGCCTATCAGCAGACCTAATTTAAGATCTAAAGTAAACAAAACACAACTTCTGACCTTCCCACCCATGACCAATGGATTCTTCACTCATCAAATCTTGCTTCATCAAAGGTGGTATGGCAGAGGGTATCCACTCTCTTATCTTGCTGCTCTTCCAGGAGACAGTGTGTGGAGATTCTCCCTGATCTGACCTCTTCTAACTGGGTTTTTTAAAAAGTACTCACCACAGCAAGAGAAACATCCAAAAATGATGCTTGGTTCTTCATAATTGATGCCCCTGCTCCAGAAACCCAGACATTTGAAGTCTGACTTAAAAACCAATCTGGAATGACCCCCATGTGTTATCCAGGATCTCTATGCTGAGCTCATCTTTCACTCTGAGCACATACCTGTTGCCTGTCCGTGTTTGATCTCCTCGGTGGTACGGTCAATGAGCACATACAAGGACCAGACCACACAGGTGATGGCGATGACATGGAATGTCACTGAGCACATGATCTTCCTGCGCTCACTGGCCGTCATCTGCAACTTCTCCCACTGGAAAGACAACACACAGAGCATGAGGTGCAGGACCCCAGACATAAAGGGCTACAATGGGGGTGAGAGCACTGTAGATGGGTAAGACTGGCTTTCTCTCCCCTCCCCTTTTCCCAGACTTCATGAATTTTCCCAAATACCAAAAGTCATTTGCCTTAAACCACTTGGCTTCAACCAGGTACCAGGCACTGGTATTCTGTCAACAGCCAACTTTTTATGCAATGAAAAGAAGCTGGGATCAAGATGAGCTATGGACCACAACCAGAAATCAATCCTCTTGTCTGCTTATTCTTGCAGGCAGACAGCCAATGGCTAGCTGAAGGACTCTATGGTTCCAGTCCTGATGAAACCAGCATGTTGGCCCCCGACCCAGGTGGCACACAGGAGATCTCCCTGCCTTGCTGACTGGCGTGGGCAAGGGGAAGAGGGTTGATGATGCCACAACACACTAGCAGATGGGTCACACTACATCATGAAGGTGATGGCAGAAGGCGCTCACTCTTTGGTCCTTTGCTGCTTTGGCAGCAACAGCTTGAAATCGATGCTAAGAGTTCCTGGTACAAGCAGGCTCTGCCAGTCCCATCTCCTCTAGGAGCTCATTAATTGACTCCAAAGAGCCAGATTTTCTCTTTCATTTACTGCTTTCCGAATCAGAAGAAAACATAAAGATAGAGAAAAAGAACAAAGTGTAAACACTCTGCATATCCTTGGCCAGCCCTAGTCACAGCCTCTCTCCAGATGGTTCTATGTAGGACAAGCTGAAAGTAGAGCCTCGTGGATTATCTACATTGGTCGAATTGCTACAAGTCTCATTTGAGGGACCAGCAGAGAGTAGGTATCCAATAAATTATACGGTCTTTATGGGGCAAAACATTTTTTAAGTAGTTTGCATCTGCCTCTCCAACACCCCGAGTGCTTTTTGCTATGGTTTTATATAGTATCTTCTTTTGGCTTTCCTCCTAAAATGCCCCCCTGCTCCCTGATTTCCTGCTATTTCTTTACATACACTCAGCCCAAGCCTTTCACACTGACCTGAAACGCTCACCCTCACCTTTTGGTGTATGCTTTTTTACACAGTCTGACCTCTCTAAACTCCTTTCACTTTACTCCAAATCCTACTGACCCTTCAAGAACAGCTTGAACACCCAAACATTCTGTGATGCTACCACCACTCCACCTCCCCAAGGCTCCAGCCCCCAGCCAACGCTCCTAAATGTCTGACGTGCTCTGCCACCATTTAATTGAACATTCGTGTGTTGTGATGTGATTGTGTGATCCCCCTTGAATATACATATCAAAAGTCTGAGATATGAACAAGTCTTATTCTACCAAACAAAACCTTATGTGCTGGGCATATAGAGAAACACATTAAACCACTTACACAGGAGGTGCCTACCAGACGAGGCTCCACTCAGAGGGAGCCGTGACGTGGGGCCTGAAGAGAGGTGCGTTTCCCATAGGGCCTGCAGTTCCTCTCTTTTCCCACCCACCCTGTGATGTTTGTTGTTGAAAGTTTTCACTGGGGGGATTGACCCTCCCTTGAAGCGTCCTCTTCGCTGGTATGTGGCCCTCCTGGTAATGACTGGCTTTGCTCTCCCCGCAGGATCTGCCACTGTGAAGGGGATGATGAGAGCCCTCTGATCACCCCCTGCCGCTGCAAGGGGGGGGGGCCTGCACTTCGTGCACCAGACCTGCCTGCATCCCCCTACCAACTAGCAAATACTTATCACAGGTATCTAACAACTAAATGTACTATGTGCTTTGTGCAAGGGTAACAATATACAGTCCTAATCAGAGGCAAGACATGAACGGTTAATACATACAAAATTAAATGCTAAGATGTCACAAAACAGTCTGTGGTCCCAACATGGGGCCAAACGACTGACACAGACAAGCAAGCAGTCTTAGTCTGACTGAAAAACACGTTAGGACCGAAGGGTCAGAAAGAGCTTCCTCCTGAGAGGAGGGAGCAGGAAAGAAGACCCGGAAATGACGACGCCTACAGCGTGAACACCTGCGCCGGCACCCACTTCTGACAGACAGGAGCGTAAGCGAGCTACGGCTTCGTCCCGGCCAAGGGGCTACTCTGCCAGGGGCCCCTCATTTCCAAGAGGTGAGAGCACTTCCGAAGGTGTCCTTCCACGTACTTTTCGCAAAGGCTTCAGCTTGACCTCCATGATGAACTCGTACTTGCAGAGCTCACAGCAGCGCGTGTCGGAGCTCTTGATCCACTGCTGCAGGCAGGTCTGGTGCACGAAGTGCAGGCTCCCCGTGCAGTGGCAGGGGGTGATCAGAGGGCTCTCGTCATCCCCTTCACAGTGGCAGATCCTGCGGGGAGAGCAAAGCCAGTCATTACCAGCAGGGCCACATACCAGCGAAGAGGACGCTTCAAGGGAGGGTCAATCCCCCCAGTGAAAACTTTCAACAACAAACATCACAGAAAGGACCACAAGCACAAAAACACACAAACAAGGACGTGAACAATGACTACAAACTAAAAACTTCTAGCTTACCGCACCAACATGGAAAGTCTGGATGGCATTTTGCATCAGAGAGGAAAAAATGATATAAGAAATGACAAAGCAGTCATTTTTGGGAAGATTTAAGAACTTCACTGAAAGCCAAATTTAAGGCAACATGGAAGCCTCTTTCACAACATGTTAAAATAATTAGAGGAAACATTTCTGTGTAAAACAAAACTAGCACTCTACTTTCCAAAAATACCAGTGACTTGAAAAGATGATGAACTTGCTTTTTAGTCATAATCACTGACTTCACCTTCACACACCATACTACACATCTCCGTCCTCCCTCAGACAGTACACAGAGAAAACACAGGACCTCTCCTGGACCTAAAAACCCCATGAGAAGGTGCCGCCATTTGTTTCTTTTTTGAGGAAGTGATAATTTTAAATCATTCATGATTTCTAAGGGTGCATGCAAGAGGATGTAGCTACTGACCTCAAGGAATTTAGCAGACTTTTGAGAAAAGGAAGGGTCTGATCCAGCAGCTGGAGAACAGGTAGGGACACCTGGCCTGACAGGAGCTGGGCCCTGGCCAGGCTCACAGCTCTTTGTTTCTGTGAGCGGGGTTTCTGATCCAACTGTTAGAAATGGTAACAGCTGGCCCGGAAGGGGCACCCAGGGAAAGACTGGAATAGGGAAAGCTTGAGCATGGTGACAAAAAGCGGATTCTGAAAGATTCTGGAAGCCAGACAAGGATGCTGCACATGGGAAGACAAAGGTGGGAAGTGGAGTCAGAACCTGGGCAGAGGTGACCACATCCGAGTTAAAAAGGAAGGAAGGAAGGTGCTGCGGGAGGCCGGCCTCTTCCCATGTACACTGTGTTGCAACTGGAACAAAGGGTAAAAATGAAGCTGGAAGGGGCAGCCAATGCTTAACATCTAGATCCTCAAGCTGGAAAACGAGATACTATTTTCTTTCTTCCAATTTCCTTAAGCAAACTCTACTTATTTTTGGTTGAGAAGAGTCAGCTTGGCCTTTAATATGTGTAGCTTCTTCCCCTTTAATCATCTGTGAAACTATGTGGGACCCGTCTCATAAAAACTGGTTTGTCAAATGATATCAATACTCCATTGTTCTGGAGAAAACCATTAACCCACAATTGTCTACCAACGCCCCCCCCCCCCCGATTACTTCATTTTCCTGAAACTTCACATATTAAAAGCAAGATGAGGCCACCGAGGTCTGGGGAGCAGAGCTGGTCAGAATGGTGGTTCTTGGCAAACCAACCTGCAGGCATCCCCTGACGTGGACACAGGAGAGATCGGGGGGCATTTTTCAGAGGGGGGAGAAGGACAATCCAGGTCACTGTCCTTCTCCACTGAGCAAAGGGGCGCCCGCAGGACCTTGCTTTTCCACTTTGCAGATGTGCTGTCCTCAAAGACATCGTCGTCTCCCATCTCATCCGAGCAGAAGCCCGCGCTCCCTGCCAGCCCGCTGGAGGACTTGGCGGTGTGCAGACGGGTGGCACAGTTCTCCAGCTCATGGAACCTGTGCGGGCTGCGGGCGCTCGAGCCATGTGAGAGCGAGAACAGGTACCGGAGCAGCCGCCGGCTCCGGGACACGGCTTCGCCATCTGCTTTCTCCTCCAAAAGAGGGACGTGCATGCCCCCCTTGCCGGCTTCCACCTCTGAGGCAGTTGATCGATTGGCAGAAAGGGAGGAAACACAAGAATGTTTGGAATTGCCAAGAGGTTTGCAATGCAGTGCTCTTTTTTCCTTCTGGTGGAACCTGTTAATTCTCAGACCCGGATCTGGAGGGAGTATCAGTTTCCCTTCGGAGCAAGTTCTTTCCACATAGTCAAAACTTTCCACAGTATCCTGGGCCTTCTCGCCCACATCGTTTAAGGATTTTGAGAACTTTAGTGTTCTTCTGGCTTTGGTATTGTCAACAGGCTTCAAGGCCTGGGCCCGTTCTGAACCACAGGAATTTCTCTTGGACAATGTGTCTTTACAGATAACTGTCACAGTGAGCCCTTGTGTCAGAGAACTCTGGCAGGGAGGAGCTTTCAAGACAACAGCAGACTGCACGGGACTTTGGTGACAACACTCAGAACACACTGCACTGGAACTGCATGCAGAGAACAGTGGAATAAAAGCACAGGAAGTAAAAACAATCTTAAAAGAGAATAGACATCCAAGTGAGGAAATGAGACTCGTGTGGTAACTTGGTGAGCAAACAGTACATAAACCTGAGCCAGCTGTTTACAGCAAAGGCATACTAACCGAGCAAATGGAAAATCGAGAACCTGCAGACACTAATGCTTATTTCCGGGATGTCACGTGAACCCCTACAGCATCTGAAGCAGAGCGTTACCTGCAGATGTCCTGATTGGACGGTGTGACAGAAGAGCGAGGGAAGGCGGACACCGGAGCCGACGCCAACGAAGAACCCCCAGCCTGCAATGACACACCTCCAGTCAGTTACAGAGGAAAGAGCAAAGGAGACAGTGACACCATCTCCTTCTGAATGGCAATGGACAGAGAATCTAAGAACACCTGCTATTTCCTACTGCTCTCTGAGTAATACATATTTAAGGTCCTGATGAGCTGAGGCAAAACAAATCAAACAGCACTCTTTTCTTCTATGGGTGTAAAAGTGTAGCCAAGAACTATTTGAGACTCTACAGCAGCAATACCAATCTCCCGCAGATTCAGTGATCCTTTATTTCCTGAGCATCTAAATTTATTTAGTTCAGGGGCACGTGGGTGGCTCAGTCGGTTAAGCGGCTGCCTTCGGCTCGGGTCATGATCCCAGGCTCCTGGGATCGAGCCCCGCGTCGGGCTCCCTGCTCAGCAGAGAGCCTGCTTCTCCCTTTCCCTCTGCCTGCCGCTCTGCCTACTTGTGCTATCTCTCTGTCAAATAAATAAATTAAAAAAAAATCTTTAAATTGAATTAGTTCATACATAGTCAAGAAATCAAGTACTAGACGGGGGGGAGCGGGCGGGGGGAGCTGGCTGGCTCAGTCGGTACAGCATGCAATTCTTGATCTCAGGGTCATAAGTTCAAGCCCCACATTGGGAGCCTACAGAAGGGGAGGGGAGGGGAGGGGAAAAGAGAGAAGAGAGGAGAAAAGAACCAGATGGAATCTGCAAATGCAAAAGAGATGTGAGGGGCCTTCCCTGCCAGTGCTTACCTTCCCCACCTGGCACTCTTTAACCTGGTTCCAGGGATAATCCTCATCAGGATGGCTGGATGTGAGTGCTCTCTCCTACTCACCCTACACTGGGTCCAGGACACCTTGCTACCCCGCCGCCAGAACTCCTTACACAAAAGGGAGACTAGGTGACCACAGGGCCGCCAATCCATAGCTCGACCTGGGGCCCTGGAGGGGGCTGAGCACAGAAGGTTCCCAAGAGTTCTAATCGTGGGATTGTGATTTAAGAAAAAGAATCAAGATGTAGTGAAAAGAAGGGCCATATGCACCCCAATGTTCATAGCAGCAATGTCCGCAACAGCCAAACTGTGGAAAGAGCTGAGATGCCCTTCAACAGATGAATGGATAAAGAAGATGTGGTCCATATATACAATGGAATATTACTCAGCCATCAGAAAGGACAAATACCCAACTTTTACATCAACATGGATGGGACTGGAGGAGATTATGCTAAGTGAAGTAAGTCAAGCAGAGAAAGTCAATTATCATATGATTTCACTTATTTGTGGAACATAAGGAATAGCATGGAGGACATTAGGAGAAGGAAGGGAAAAATGAAGGGGGGTGGAAATCGGAGGGAGAGATGAACCATGAGAGACTATGGACTCTGAGAAACAAACAGGGTTTTAGAGGGGAGGAGGGTGGGGGATGGGTTGGCCCGGTGATGGGTATTAAGGAGGGCACATACTGCATGGAGCACTGGGTGTTATACGAAAACAATGGATTGTGGATCACCACATCAAAAACGAATGATGTATTGTATGGTGACTAACATAACATAATAAAATAAAATTTAAAAAAAAAAAGAAAATTTAAATTTGAAAGAATGTGTAGCAAAAGGTCGTGACACAGATCAGGGGCTTTGAGGGCTTATAAACAAGCCAAGATGAGAAAAGAGCTCTAGGAGGGTGAAGGAGCACCACAGTGGAAAGAGAAGTGGAAGGAGAGAAACAGGAAGAGTGTACCTCAGCCTCCCAGGTCCCTCAGCCTCCCACTCCAACCTCTCTGGGATCCTTGCTACGCCTTCTCTAGACTCAGATTCCTGAGTTCCCATGGCCCTCAGAGCACTATGCATATTCATATAAATGCATTCTTCCCTCCTAAGACAGTCAGCTTGAGTGAGCATCTGCCCCACACACCTAAACAGCCACATGAAAACAGTACCATGAGTCTTATCAAGAGCAAGCCCACATTACCTCCCTACCTTCCCCAGGCACACCACCCCCCCAAGTGGCCTTCAGCCCTGCTCCATGATTCGAGGGAGGCCCACAATTCCCTGGCTGAGGTCTAGACCCCACTCTTGCTAAGCCCCATCCCCAGGGGCTGGGTCTCATCCTGGCACTGAAGCTGCGGGACCCCTGCCATGGGCCAGCCACCAAGACCGGCGGCACCACTGCCCAGAAGCTCTCCCCATCTGCCCTCCCCAGCAAATGCGCCCACCTGGAGAGAGCCAGAGCTGGCAGTCATATTGAGGGCTTCAGTGGTCCCGCTCCCCAGCTGGAGAACTAAACATCACTTTAAAATCCAGCCCAACCTGAAACCTGGTCCAAGAAGTTACATGATATCACATTGAATGTGTGTGCTAAAATCCTGCAGTAGTACTCAACTAGCACATCTGCTCAGTCACCAAAGAACCCACATGTTCTAACTGAATGTGGAAAATAGTCGGTTTCCTGGGAGGAAGCAGGTCTCAGACAGGAAGCTGAAATCAAAAGAAAATGGCTTCTCACTCCCGTCCTGAATTCAAGTGACCCATGTCAAAAAGGGAAGTCTGGGGTAGTGATCACATCATCACACACCCAAAACAGGGGAGTGCTGGGTGGCAGGAGGGAAGAGCCTCAGGACAGAGCAAGGCCTGCATCAGGGAAGCAGCCAGACGGCCCACACCCACAACAGGACCTGGGATCACTTCCCCATGAATTTGGTGTCTCAGGTGGACCCCTGGGAGCTCATACAGTCATGTGTGTACCTGCAGCAAAGCATCATGCCTGTGAGTCGGTGGCAGCGGTCCCAAGCCCCTGATCTGCTTATTTAGGGAAAAAGGAATAGTCTCAACATCCTATCTGTGTCCCTGTCTTCATTTCATCCTCTCCAATCCCACAAAAAATCATGAGACACTTTCAGCAGGTAATGTCCAAGCCTCAACAAGCCTCCCAATTACAGAGAAAAAATTTCTCTTATTAGATCATGAGGTTTCAAGGAAATTTTTTAAAATCTACTTTCTGTTGTTTTATATAAATACAAACCAACAAGGGCACCTGGGTGGCTCAGTCAATTAAGTGTCTGCCTTCAGCAGATCGAGTCCCACATCGGGCTCCTCTGCTTCTCCTTCTATCCCTCCTCCCTGCTCCTGATCTCTCGCTCTCTCTCTCAAATAAATAAATAAAATCTTTATAAATACATCCATACATACAAACCAACAAATTCCTTATCCTGGCTGACTCCTCCAGTAAGAATGAGAAAACAAGCAAGATTTGTGGGGCCATCACAGATCTCTTAAGAGGCACCTGCTGTTTCCAGCTAAAGAAGTTGAAGTTCAGGACAAGTCCACATGTAAAACGATCACCAAAGCATAGCATCAACAATTTTAAAAAGCTTAACTTGTTGCTGGTATCAAGCTGAGTAAAATCTATCAACCTACCAATGAGGATTTAAAAGACTGGAATGATCGTCAACAGCAAGGACAAAATGAAGCCTACAAATACAGTTCAAATACAGTGCCAGAGTCCAGCTGGGGACGTTAAGGTAAGTCAGGGGCCAGCAGTGCCCCGTCAGAGGCTTGGAGCACTGGAGAGCTCTCCCACTCAGCCCGAGGGCAGAGGGCAGGTGGCAGGGGGGAGGCTACGGGCCAGCACTACTCGCCTTAAGGGAAAAGAAGAGCACCTTCTCTCCTCCAGAAGATCAGACCACACCAGGACTCTGCTGTAAAAGTACATGTAAATGTTCATAATGAGAATATTCCCATGTGTCGAGAAAACTAAAGCCCTGTGTTCCTGAAGCTCTTTGTTGGTTCTCAAACAAAAGTTCTGGTCATGTAAAGGAATGTAAAGCAATCTCACTACAAAAAAATTTTCGTGAAAAATCCCCTCCTCTTAAGATGTCGTAATCAATTATGCAAACAAACCTCTGGATTCCATCCAGACCTAAATCCCAGTTGAGTTTATTTCTTAGGAATGACAATTTTAGATAATTTGTCAGTACTCAAGTCACTTAGTGGTTGTCTTTCCTATCAAACTCACTGTTTTAAATTACTTTGTCAAGGCTGCCAAAAACAACCAAAGGAAAACTTCCAATATAGGTTTGGTAGAAGCTGGCACTTCCTTTTGCAAGAACCTACTGCCATTGAAACAGACTCATCAAGTACTTTTCTCCGTCCATGCCAGGAACTTAACCAATTTCACTCAGAGGGACTTTCTCACTGCAGGACACCAGCCGGACCTTCCCCGGCTCTCCTCTTGCTTCACTTCCTTCCCCTGCTCCTTCCAGTAGGTTACTTCCCAACCTCCCTCTCTACCATCCCCTCCCTCCTTCTCTGCTGTAAACCCTCAGTGGATCTTCTTTTCATTTACTGGCAAAGCTACATCTGGGGCTCAGGGCCCTAACAAAAGTGAATTCACCCAACTGATTTACATCAACAGGTATAGGGCCACAAGAAATGGTCTGGTTGGGTTCATTTGCTTTTAAGCCAGGAGCAATTTGAAGAAGGACTGGATACGGAAGGTAAGAGACAAGCTGGGCTTCTGTTTACAAGTGACCTCAAACTTAATAGAAAAAAATGGGGAAACGAAGTACAGATGGCTCTTAAAACATAAAAAGATGTTGGGGTGCCTGGGTGGCCCAGCCGTTAAGCGTCTGCCTTCAGCTCAGGTCATGATCCCAGGGTCCTGGGATCGAGCCCCGCATCGGGCTCCCTGCTCAGCGGGAGGTCTGCTTGTCCCTCTCCCACTCCCCCTGCTTGTGTTCCCTCTCTCACTGTGTCTCTGTCAAATAAATAAATAAAATCTTAAAAAAAAAACATAAAAAGATGCTTAACCTCTCTTACAATGAGAAATACAAGTTAAAACTACAATGAGATACACCATCAGCAACAACAAAAAAGTCTGTTTGTTTTGTTTTAAATCACCTAATACCTGTGTTGGCAAACATGTGGGAAAACAGCCATGCTTATACATTGCTGGTGGGAAAGCAAATTGCTTAACTCCAGAAGAGGGCAATTTGGCAATTACTCTCTAAATTACAAAT